CTGTTAGAGTGTATCTCTACAGGTTGTATGTATCAGTTGCAGGTCTGGGTATCAGTCTGAGGACATCAGTATTTGGGGGTATTCAATTTGAGGCAGTGATTTGGGGACAGATATCAGTGTTTGAGAATAGTTTGTTCAGCTTATGATATCAACTGTGTGTTGTCTTTATCTAAGCCCAAATGTTGTTCGTTTTTATGATTGTTCTTTCCTTATTTTTGTTTTATTTATCTTTTTGCAAGGTAGTATTGCATCATTGCTTCCAACGAGGCAGATACCCCCCAGGTACTCTTGACCCAGATTGGGAGAGTTCATCGATCTGAGAATCTAGTAGACGGACAACCAGTGTTTACTGCATTACCCTTGGTTACGAGACGGAGGTCATCCAGGCACAGATCGTCAGTACAGCAGTCACCGGTTCAGCGGTCATTATCTACCTCACTTGTGCGGAGTTGGGCTGAGATATATGCTTCTACCTCAAAGAGGGAATGCACACCTGTTCAGTCAGATCAGCATTTTACAGTCAGTATGGAGGACATGATGCGTCTACTCCAAGAGACCTTGCAGGCCATGCAGTGAGATGCTGCCCATTTGGCGGAGATTACCGCTCATCAGGCAGAAGTTATGGCTCAACCGACAGAATTGATCGCCAGGCTTCAACAATAGCAGCAACCACAACAAGCCGGAGCATCTACTTCACATCCACCTCCACCTCCACCTCCACCAAGGGTACCAGCACCCGAGGAAACAGCAAACGTCCAGGAGAATACAGACGTTCTAACAGGGCCAATCCCACCACCAATCCCACCTCAGATGTCTAAAGCACCAGCTAATCCAGTGGACACACCGTTCGAATTTGAGGTTGATCCAACCGCTTTGAAAATGAGTAAGCTTGAAAAGCTGTTCAAGCGAGCCCAGGGAGTTAACTTGATCCCCGATATAGAAAATGGATACACTGATTCGGTGGTGACTTTGCCGGATAGGTTCAAGATGCCACATATTGACCGCTTTGACAGTTCTGGCGATCCTATGGTTCATCTGAGGCTATTCTCGGATATTCTACGCCCAATGGGCTTGACGAGACTCCAGAACTTCACTTTTTGGCCGGACGCTGTCGGGTATTGCGGCTATTTGGTACACTAAGCTGGAGGATTCAGTGAAGAGAAGTTGGGAGGAGATGGCTAAGGCCTTCATCGCCTAGTATTCATACAACACCCAAATCGAGGTCACGACCCGTGATCTCGAGGCAACCAAGAAAGAGCCGAAAGAGGGCTTTTCTGACATTGTCAATCAATGGAGGGCTAAGGCCTCCATGATGACAACTCGGTTGCTTGAGAAAAATTAGATAAAAATGGTTGTGCGCAACCTGCAACCCAAGTTGATGCAGAAAATGATCGTCTTACCCCTCTCTACCTTTGCTGATTTGCATGAGATTGGGGTACAGATTGAAGATGCTATAAAGCAAGGTCTAATCGATCAGGAAAGGGAGCAGCCCAAGAGGGCGTTTACATGTGGTTCGAATGCAGCTACCAGTAGTAGTGCAGCCGCGAGAACTTCTGACGTCGGCATGGTCACCACCACGCCTAAAATAGCTACACCCTTCACCGGTGCATCCGGAACTAGTTCGCAACCAGTAAGAAATCCACCCCAGGGTCAGAGGACTTTCACTCCACTGTATATGCCTCTGTCCAAAGCCTTGGGGGTCCTGATTAGAAAAGGGCACCTGAAGCCCTTAGAACCACGCCCACTACCAAATAACCTCCCTCTAACCCATAACCCAGCCAAATATTGTGCCTTTCACCAGCAGCACGGTCACGACACTGACCTCTGCTTCAGACTGCGTCATGAGATCCAAGATCTCATTGACAACAAGGTGATTGTACCTCTCGAGAAGCCAAATGTCACCACTAACCCTCTCCCGCCGCATAACAACCCCCCTCCACCTAGGCAGGTAAACCTGATCCAAACCACGGCCGTCCCATACGACCCGAGCATATACATCACACCCTCTCACTTATCCGAGCCTGAGGTGTTCATCCCAGATAGCACAAACTTGTGCATGATGAGCACCTCCCTAACCCAGCCCAAGCCAGTGGTGATAACTGTCAAAGACAGAGCTGGGGTGACCTTGGAGGAGCATGGGAATGATGGTTCAGAGCATGAGGGATCTGGGAGCTTTACTAAGGAAGCATACAACCCAGGTGGTTATATTGTGTCGACGGGCCAGGCTAGGCCGAGGGTAGAGTTGCCAACTGGGGCAGAGGTTGATGTGGTCCTAGGCCGAAAACCTAGAAGGGCGACCTAGGCAAAAGTTAGAGCACAAAAAATTGGAAAAAAGAAAAACTGAGCTCGCAAGGTTAAAAACCTAGAAAGAACGGCCTTGGCAAAAGTTAGAGCGCAAAAGGAGATAGTTAATACTCGAGTGAACCCAAACCGAACTACATGAGGCCTCATTCCCATCTTCAGGATACGTAGGCAACATCATTCTGAAGCTCGGCCGTAAACACCTCCAAATCAACTGTGTCCATGTGTTTGATCAAGGCATCATTGTCTATTCGTTATCTGAAAGTTCGATTGTGATCCTTACTCTAAGAGAAGAGCTGACTACAGTGTTGAGTAGTGCTATTCAATCAAGGGGCAATTTTCCATTTTTGGATTTGGGGTTATACGTCTCGAGGATAGATTCCATGTGTGTCAAGTTGTGATCCTTATCAAAAATGGTTTTGAAAAGTTTTAATAAAAGTTGATTTTGTTCAAATTAATCTTTTTACAACTTAGATCATTTTTGGACCAAAAGGAAAATTTTCAGTGCCCATAACTTCAATTTCATTGATTTCAATACAAAGTTCTCCGACTCTTGATACAAATAAATGTCACTTTTTATTACATGCATAAAACTTGAAAAGTAAGATCAAAGCAATAAACTTGGGGCATAGCTGAGTTAGGTTTTCCTGCGTCCCCCGCTTGTGCTTATGGAAGCTTCTGATGCTAAAGTGGGCCCGATTTGTGCCTCATCTTCAAGCCAAATCAAGTGCTCGCCAGAAAGTGCGTAGTTGAAACTAGGGGCAGGAGCCAGAAGCTCCCTTGTCCTTCAAGCAGTGGGGTATCTAGCCAATTGTGAATCTCAGATGGGGAATGAAGCTGGGTACTCTACTCCCTCTTCTGGGCAAGTCTGGTCGTGTCTGAACTGACGCTTGAACTGGAACGGAAAATAGAATACACAGTGTGTCAAGCCAATCAGCTGAATGCCAGGTTGTCGAGTCATGCTGTAGCTCATCTCGGGCAGATCAAACCATGGGCAACGCCAAGCAATGTCAACAGCAGACCTGTTGTACATCCAATGGCACCACCATCCCTCGTTTTGGAAATCCACTAGCCGTTGGCGAAAGAAATAGCCCCGTGTAGAATATGCAGGGCAAGAATCCACTACCTTCAACCTGTCCATGAGCCATATATGGAGAGGGATGAAAGAAAAGAGAGATTAAAGAATGTAGAGGTGTATGTTGAGAGAAAAAGTGGGAAAAGGGCTTTGAGAAAAAAAAAACAAAGCACGAGTGCCGAGGGACGTGAGAAACACATATTAGAAAGGGTGGGAAACATTACCTGAAGAAGTTGCAGACTTCCCGCAAATTTGGTTGTCTCCTGTTGATGAAAGGTGTTTAGGCCCATCAGAGTCTCGGCCAACGCCAAACCAATGCAACTCTTGCCTTCTTTCAAACCTTGGGCCACTTCAACTAGCTGAATGCTAGACCTACCGAAACTAGGGGCAAGGAGGACATGTGTCAACATACACAAACAAAGGGCGTGTTGTCGAAAACCCTGCTAGAAAGGATCACTTCGGTCACCGGTGTCAGAAAATCGATGAATCAAACTGGGGATGTCTAGGTCTCCATTATGAACCAAGGATCGAGCCTCATGTAACGTGAGCCCACACATCCTTCCCAAAGCTTGGATGTGACGAAAATGGGGCTGATTTCCTTATCCCGTCGAGACTCCATTAGCACTTGACATTCTTCGATTGTTGAACATATCTCTTGTCCCCCAAAGCTAAAAACGTACGTAATCGGGTTCTAACATTTACCCATGGCGTGAAGGAATGGAGAACAAAGCGGAGAACGACTCAACGGGAATAGTGCATTTATGCCAAAATCCCAGAAATTCAGCTTTTTCGAGCTATCTAAAGTTGCAATCCAATTCGAGAGTTTTTCGACAAAGAATGGCACCATTTGTGAAGAATTCGCAGCTGAAATGAAGAAACTACGAGGTCCAAACCTTTTGTAGAAGATAAGGCAGTGAGTGGATGCTAGGTGTCAACATTCTGGAGGTTCCTCGCATTGATGGCCGACCGGCCATTGGTGATGGCCAACATACCACTTTGGTGGCTGACTAGCCACCGCTAATGGCCGACGGCCTCTATTCATGGCTGACATCCTCCCACTATAGCCTGATGTCATTCTTGTGCTGGAAAGTGTTGGTAGGATGACCTTTGTTCTGTTCTTTGTGTGTTTTGGAGTCTTGTTTTGAGTCTTTTCAAGCCTTAGCATGCTTGTTGAGGTCTGTGTTTTTTGTTTTGTTTATTGAGTTGCATTTGTCTTGTTTTGCTCATCGAGTTGTATTCAAGTTGTTTTGTTGTATATCAAGTTGTCTAGTTTTGTTTATCAAAATTATTATAGTTGCTATTATCGAGTTGTATGTTGTGTTTAGAACTTCAATTGTTGGTCAGTTCGTTACCTGATTCGGATTGTTATGGCAATGCAAGTGTTCACATTTCATTATCAAATTCAAACTCATGTTCATGCAATGCGGTGCTCATGATGTAAAATACAACGCTTTTTTTTTCAAAAAAAAAAAAAAATGGTTTTCATTCTGATCATGGTTGTTTTTACAAAAGGTGTAGTACAAGTTTTTAAAGAAAATAAAACCTGTTCGAAGCTGTACAATGTGCTAACACTACTAACAAAAAGAAGCTAAGTAAAAACTACAGAAAATCAGCGCTGGTCGCCTCAGGCTTGAGAAGCCCTCTTTGTGCTCTTCTTCGGAGGAGAGGACTCTACAACACTATCTCCATCGACGTCACTGTTTGAACCTGGATTAGAGTCTGAACCTGAGCCGTCTCTACTCTTCGCCTCGGAGCCCTCCTCAGCAGAGCCCTCCTTAGTACCCGCACTCCTACTCCCAAATTCTGAGCCAGCATCATCGTCTCCACTCTCGGATGACTCAGCATGCTGACTCGTCGCCTCCTCGGCCTCACTAGTCTCAGCATCGTCATTGCTCAGAATAGGCTCTGAAGGGCCACTCTCAACTCGGGTGCCCCTAGCTCGGCCTTGACTGCGTGCTAGAGCCTGTCTCTCTCTCTCTCTGTCGCCGGAGGAGACATTGCTGGTCCTGCTGCTGCTCTTGCTGGCGCACCTGGTATGGGTGGGACCTGAAAAGACAGTTGTCATGTGTCAGCCACAGTATGCGTATCAGATACAAGTATGGGGCATAATGAGTATATGCTGAAGTCAGGTACAAAGTATAAATGCAGTATGAAAGTGCAGTATTTTAGATGCAGTGTATCAGTGCAGTGTGGGGAAGTTCTCATGTCAGTTTCAGTGTGTCAATGGAAATTTGATGACTGGAATGTAAGAAAACTGAAGAAATGACCTGAATGCCGTGGAAGCCATGTAGTGCCTCCCTCCTCAGTATTACGCCCTTAAATGAGGCTAATAGCTCCAGCAGATCCTCTGTGTATCTTGGGGGTGCCTGCAAATGCATTGGGAATGATCAGTGTCCAGAAGGAACAAATATCAGAAAGAGATGGGAAAACTAAAAAATCTAGTACATATCGGGGGTGCGTCATGAGCTCTGGCAATCTATGCCCCGCTATGGCAGGCTCAATCAGAATCTGATATGCCTTCCCAGTACACCGCCAACATGTGAGTGCAGTAGGCAGATCTGGCCACTCGGTCCTCTTCCTCACCTGAGGAGCCCCTCTCCCACGGGCCCTGGCTACCCTAGACGCTCTAGGCCCCACCCTCACAGTAGGGGCTCTCGCCCCCTCACCTCTACAAACACCAGTCAGAGGTGACATAAGGTGTGTTTGAATAAAGATCGTATAATCGCCCTCGACTCGGAAGTACTCTACCTCCAAGCCCACCATGAATTAGAACGATATAACGAATGTAAGTTTTAAGCCCACTTTGTTTGGTGGCAAATCCTCATCTTTAAGCCCACTTGAGGTGGCAAATTCAAACCATTTTCGTAAATAAACATGAGTTGAATTGTTCCAATTTGAGCAAACTAGTCTATACTTGCTTGCGCGCATCACATAGTAAAGCTAGCTTAAAAACAAGAATAAGAATACATAATGTTTATAAAAAATCATATCATGATTAGTAGAGGCCGATCTTTGATTGGGCGAGCGGGGGGAGAGGGGGCTCAATTCATGACGTTCCCCTTTCGTACCCAAGTTTTTGAGTCGAGGCAACTTTGGTGATGACGGACACGTGGCCTTTGGCACGAGTCATGGTTTTCTTAAATTTTCCCAAAATAAAATATTTAGGTGGCGACTCTGTATCTGGCAAAGCAATCCAATTTTGGCATTATTTGATTTAAAAATCGATTTTCCAAAATGATTTCCCGGACTTGGACTCTTTGGTGATTATCAGTTTCACATTGCACTTGTGAGACAAGATTTAGAAGCACGGGAGTCCGAACTGTGAGACCTTTCTTTTTAAACCTTCCAAAAGGGTGGCGCGAAAAAAGGCGAGTCCACATCCCCTTTTTGATTAGGATCCCTAAGGCTTTGGACAAAGACATGTAGAGTGGGGTGAAGACCCTTTGGTTTCGGGCTTGATGGATCGAGGTTTGTGAAGTTGTATTGGAGGTGTTGGCGAACAGGTTGGCATCATAGAGGCCTTGGCCCTCCATCGGGTCACAAAATCTAAGAAACCCTCCTTCGACTCCTGGCGAGTTGCTTCGAGATCACAAGTAGTGACCTCAATCTAAGTATTATAGGAGTATTGCGCCATGAATGCCTCATCCATTTCCTCTGAATTTCTCTTCACAGAGTCTTCAAGCTTGGCACACCAAATGGTCGTTATACCTGACAGGGTCTGGCCAAAAAGTGACAACTTCTGCAATCTAGTGAGACCCATTGGTCATAGGATATCAGAGAATAGTCGTAGATGAACCATGGGATCCCCGGAGCCATCAAACTGGTCTATGTGCGACATCTTGAATCTGTCCGGCAAAGTTATTGCAGAATCTATGTATCCATCCTCAATATCAAGGATTGAATTCACGCCTTGAGCCCGTTTGAAGAGCTGGGGTCAACCTCGAATTCAAACGGCGCCTCCATTTGGTAAACTGGTGCCTTGGTGGTCTGAGGTGAGATCGGATCTGCCGGAATGCCCTTGTTTTCTTGGAGATTGACTGTGACCCCGGGTGTTGGAATTCCCGCTGGGGGTGCATGAGATGCAGAGGCTACTACCAGTTATGGCTGCTATTGCTGAAGCCTTTCTATCACTTCTGCTTGGCGGGCTGTGGTCTCAGCTTGGCGGACAGTATCTAGTTGCATTGTCTCAATAGTCTGCTGGTGCTGACGAAGCATATCTTCTGTGCTAACTGGGGGATGTTGAGCTATCAAAACTGGCGAATACTCTCTTTCTGGAGTAGAAGACTCGGCCTGACTAGGCGTAGGTGAAGTGAAAGGTGACTGCTGGATTGGTGAATTCTGCCTTATCCTCCTTCGTCTGGTAATTGGTGGGAGTGAAACAAACATTGGCTGTCCCCTGACAAGATCCCCAGATCTACAAATCCTTCTTACTCGGGTCCAGAGTGCTTGGGGGGTAACAAAATCGTCTGAAACAATGGTGAAAAACTACCTTGTAAAAAGAAATAAAGCAAAAAAGAAAATAAAAATCAGAAACCGCCCAGCCCCTCTGCTCAGATTCTAATCAGTGCACTGATGTAATCAAAGCTGTAGAACCATGCTCAATACTGAATTCTGCATCCCAAAAACTAATACCCAGACTTGCAACTGATACATACATTCCTGTAGAGTTTCACTCTAAAAGCACATATTAAGCAAGTGAGAGCCAAAACACCCCTATGATGGGGTAGGGTTACCCTGTCCTAGTTTTGTCAGGAACTAAGGTTCACTACTCAAGCAAAGTGTTTCACACAATCCTAAATTCGGGTGAGCAACCTGTCCTAGTTTGGAACAGCTTCTATGGTTTCCGATATGCAAGTAGATCAATTGGTCAAAAAGAGTACCTCAGCAAGACTACCTAATATACCTCTCACACCTAACACTAAGAAGTGAAAGGAGGATCAAACGGTACAGAGGTAGTCCACATCCAAGGGTTGTGTTCCCATCGTTGCAGAGCCCGTAATTGGTTAGCCTTTTGGCAAGCTTTTCGAAGCAAGCCTCAGGAAAACCATTCAGGAATAGCAGATGGCAAACACTGTGACTTAAGCGCACCGATGCAAATGCAAATGCAAATGCAAAGAAACACATATGTCTAGATAGAATGTCATATCATGGGTTTGAGTCAAGTTCTCTAATACCCCAGCAAAGTCACCAGAAACTGTATCTCGGCTCTTTCACTCACCCTTTTGGAAGGTTTGAAAGAAAATCCCTACAGTTCGAACTCCCGTGGTTCTGAATCTAATCTCACAAGTGCAATGTGAAACTGATAAACACCAAAGAGTCCAAATCTGGCAAATCGTTTTGGAAAATTAATTTTAGGATAAAAAATGCCAAAAATGGAATGCTTTGCCAGATACAGAGTCGCCACCTAAATATCTTATTTTTGGAGAAATTTAGGAAACCCTGACTCTTGCCGAAGGCCATGTGTCCATCATCACCAAAGTTGCCTCGGCTCGGGAACTTGGGTATGAAGGGGGAAGGTCATGAATTGAGCACCCCCGCTCGCCTGATCAAAGATTAGCCTCTACTAATCATGATATGATTTTTTATAAACATTATGCGTTCTTATTCCGGTTATTAAACTAGCTTTACTATGCGATGCGCACAAGCAAGTATAGACTAGTTTGCTTAATTTGAAACAATTCAACTCATGTTTATTTGTGAAAATTGTTTGAATTTGCCACATCAAGTGGGCTTAAAGTTTGCGGATTTGCCACCAAACATAGTGGGCTTAAAACATGATTTGCCACTCAACAAAGTGAGCTTAAAACATACATTCGTTGAATCATTCCAATTCAAACAACAAGCCTTATTCCACAGGCATTCAAGCAGTTTAACATTTAAGCACATAGCCTCATGACAAGCATGCAAGACATGGCAACATTCACATTTATGCAAGTATGCTAAAGCGTAAAAACTCACCTAGTACTCCAAGCTAGGAAGATATGAGTTAGAAAATAATGCATGATTCCTAACTATACAAGATGCCTAATATAACACATGCAATATGTAGTTAATAGGCTCAGCTACTAATGTGGCATATGAATCGATTTGAACAACATGCAATGAAATACGTATTCAAAGATGTATTAAAGCGACAATGCAGTTTGAATGATGCGCCGAGCATCGGTACATGCGAAACAAGATGAATGTATGCAAGCATAAGGCATAAGGTATGCTAATTCAAATATGACCCTAATCTAACCATCAAAAGCGGTTAAGTAAAAGGGAGAAAGACATGGGGTTGGAAAACATACATAAACGCACGCACACTTATTACGACATTATGCCCTCGCGAAGGAGGGTCCAAATGAATAAGCTAACTAACTAGCTACGCTAATTTAGCTAACTAATACAAAACTCAAATTAATTAGCTATTCTATTTAAGCTAATTATTACAAACCGAAATCAAATAACTAGTTAAACTAACTAATCATTTACAACACTTAATTAGCTACAATTAATTAATTACAACACGTATTTGATCTAATGCTAATTAAACTAATTAGCTAATCCCGAGAATCGAGGGATGCATGCATGCTCGATTTTTCACTCGAAAAGCCACTGCCTTGCTGCTGAAAGCCTCTATTTGCACATATGAACACCAACAAAGCTGTCCACTTCCAGAACACCTCTGCTCCTATAGACGTCCCCGAACGCCCCGGGAGGATGAGTCCCGTTCTGTTCATTTGTTGGTCTACTATAGTTCGGACTCTCAAATTGTCACGGTTCTTAATCTGAACCAAAGAGTCCAAATCCAGCAAATCGTTTTGAGAAAAACAGATTATTTTTAGAAAAGAAGTGCCAAACACGGACTGCTTTGCCAGATACAGAGTCGCCACCTAAATATTTTATTTTGGGAAATTTAGGAAACCTTGACTCGGTGCCAAAGACCACGTGTCTGTCATCACCAAAGTTGCCTCGGCTCGAGAACTTGGGTACGATTGGGGAAGGTTAGCTATGAGCACCCCCTCTTGCCCGATCAAAGATCGGCCTCTACTAACCATGATATCTTGTTTTGAAAACATT